ACCCGGGGATGAATCCCATCCGGACCCATGGACTTGTAGGGATCCAGGTGGAGTAGCAAATCCCGCACACGTTCAGGGTCAGTTGGGAGTTTGTCATCCCCACCGTCCCGGTCCTCAAGCTCAGGGCACCCTGGGTCCCGAAGCCCATCATCAGCATTGAAGACAGAGGCAAAGAAGGCGTTAAGCGTCTCTGCTTTGCCTATGTCATTGTCTGTGAGGAGACCTTCCCTAAAGGAAACCTTCTCTAAAGGAGACCTTCCCTAAATCTTAAATGAAAGTCTTCAATAGCTAATTGCAAAGGGTGCCCTGCTTTGTTTCCTGTTTTAGAGGAAGCAGGAAGCTACTGCATAAATGTTGGTTCAGGGTTGTTTATCACAGCAAGGCATTTTTCACAGGCAATGTGCATTTCTGAACTGTTTTGCACATTCAGGATGCAAAGCACAGCAAACCAAAGGACAGCAGATAATTAAAGGGCACTTTTCTTATTGACCCTGGCTGGAATCAGATCTGTAGTATGCCTTTGAGTGGTTTTAGGGAGGCTCTGAAGCTGCAGTTCTCTGTTCAGCCACCATCTAGGGTGGTTTCTGCAGCCCTTGCAGTGGCTGTTCCACACCTGCATGGGTGTAAAGTTCACTTCTCAAGCCCATAAATTTAAATAGCTCAGGAGACAGCTGGAGTCTAATCCAAAGCAGTAGGACAGTGTGAAATAGCTTCCTGGAGTGCCTTCCTGCTATGCTGGATGTAGATCTGAGGTATTCTGCACAGGGCAGGCTGCCGGCAGCAAACGGGATCCCACATCCTGGAGGATCCAGGGGTTGTCTGTACATGTAGGTCTCTGCTCAGATGGCGAATGTTCCTTTCTGCTACTGCCACACAGGACACTGGGCACCAGAGGGGCTTGTGCCTCTCTGCACCCTTGGAAGCCTCCTTTGCTGGTCACTGGCATCTAGAGCCAAGAGAAGGTTGTGCTGCCTGGATGAAATTTTGGGAGGGGATGTTATGGGGTGGCTGGGAGAATATAGTTTGCTCCCTGTAGTTGTCATCACGTCCCTTTGGTCCATTTGTCCCTGGGTCTCCAAGCAAGCAAAGTGCTAGGATCAGCTGGGGCCAGCCTGAGAAAAGGAGAATGCTAATGTAAAACCCATCAGCTGCACTGAGGCACATGAATACCTTTCTCTGTCCCCTCCAGGCTGGATTAACAGGTCTTTTCTTTTTATTCTTGTAGGAAAATGTTACTCCCCCTGCATTTGTTTCAGAGCTGAGTCCTGGTTCAGACATGTTCCCTGTGGGAACTATGGTGGGAAAGAGCCATGAAACGTCAGACATTAGATGTTCAATGTGCATGGATTGAGGATATCACTCCCTGGGGGCTGCAAAGAGACACGTGAGCAGAGAAATGCAGGTGTAACAAGCCAAAGGCCCTCTTCAGACCCTAAGCCCCAGAGTGCTTGGTGTGCCCTAGCATGTGGGGCTGGTTCCTGCCTCACTCAGACCTGTTCCTGCCAGGAGATCTCAAGGCCCCAGGGGAGTCCCTGCCAAGAATCCCAGCCTTGACTGTGAATTTTGAGTGCTTTGAGGGGTGAGGCAGTGTTTGCATTTCAGGGAAGCGGGATCTGTGTCGAGATGGGGTTTCCAGACACATCTCTGAGGTAGCTGGGTATCACCAGAAACAGTCTCTTTCAATAGCACTGCTGTGCGTTCACTTAGCTGATGTGTTTATCCATTGATCTTCCAGATCAATGGCCTCCCAGAGGCCTTTTCACTTAACATTTTAAAGGACCTTGTGATGTGTAGCCTGAAACTGATGGGTTTGGGGGGAATTAACCTGTTGTCCAATCCCTTAACTGGACTGTGACCTCGAGAACAGCCTGGAAAATTGGACATGAGCTTGCAGCACACATTTGCAGCCCAGAAAGCCAGTGGTACCCTGGGCTGCATCAAAAGCAGCATGGGCAGCAGGGCAAAGGAGATAATTCTCCCCCTCTACTCTTCCCTCATGAGACCCCACTTGCAGTGCTGTGTTCAACTCTGGGCTACCCTAAACAAGAAAGAAATGGACCTGTTCGAGCAGGTCCAGAGGATAGCCACAAAGATGACTGAAAGGCTGGAGCACCTCTCCTACAACTCTCATACAAAGAAGGGCTGGGAGAGTTAGGGATGTGAGAAGTGAAGGCTCCAGGGAGACATTATTGCAGTGTTTCGATAATTAAAGGGGGCCTATAAGAAAGATGGAGAGAGAGTTTTTAAAAGGGCATATAGTGACAGGACAAGGGGTAATTGTTTTAAACTGAAAGAGGGTAGATCTGGATTAGAGATAAGGAAGAAATTATTCACTATAAGGGTGGCAAGACCCTGGCCCTGGCTGCCCAGAGGAGCTGTGGGTGCCCCATCCCTGCCAGTGCCCAAGCCCAGGCTGGATGGGGCTGGGGGCAGCCTGGGCTGGCAGGAGGGATCATGCCCATGGCAGGGGGTGGAACCAGATGAGCTTTAAGTTCCTTTCAACCCAAACCATGATATGATTCTAATTTAGAATTTTTACATAAAGCAAGGCTGGACCTGCTGAGAATCCTGCATGGATTCACTAATAAGAAGAACAAAAATAAACATAAGGCAAGTTGATTCTTTATTGCTGCTGTTGGATAAGGTTTAGCTTGGAAGACTTTTTAACCTTAAAACAGAGATCTTCAGATCTGGGCTAAATTATGCTTCCATGGGCTGTCATTATAACATAAAAAGAGCGGGTTAGTTTAAAATTTTTGAACAATTGCCCAGATTAAGTTTGTTAAAGAATAAACCTCTGTGAGTGTTCCTGGATGCACAGAAGAAACCAGGACTAGAATGTTCTGATTTATGAGTGGTGCTGGGGATGCCCAGGAATGAGCAAGCCCTTGGGCAGCCTATACAGAAGAGCAGGAGGCTTAAAAGACCTGCTAAAATGTTTTGCAATCTGAGGATCTTGCTGCTGTACCAATTTATCTCTGATTATCAGAAACACCACAAATTCCTTCCTGATGACATGCAAGTGAGTGTGTTACTGGAAGAGCCAGCTGATGAATTCAGGTGGGAAGAATACAGAAGAAGGCCCCTTGTTTTTGAAGGAGGGTTTGTGTTCCTTTGGTTGCAGATGTAACTCATGGAGGTTTCCACAGCCTGCAGAGCTCATGATGCTGTTTTGTGCTACTGGATATATGGCCACTCAGACAGAAGGCATTTTATAGAGGTTAAATAGCATCCTTGTCTGATTGGTGATGCATTTTGCAAAATAGCCATATCCTCTGGACAGGAACAGAAAAACCCCAAACCAGTCCCAAACGACAGCCCTGTAAGCAGCACATCGTGAAGACAATGCTATTTATAACTCTTCATTCTTTGACAGTTTCAATAAAATAAAATAAAATAAAATAAAATAAAATAAAATAAATCCTGCACTGTCTTGTTCTCCAAGTTACCCAAATTTTTATCCAACAGTAAAACTTCACTCTTTCTGAGTGAGGTTCAGGACCTGAACCTGCATAGCCCATACCCAGCAGCAGTGGATGCCAGCAGGAGAAGCACCTCGGTCATGTTTTGGGAGTGCAAACAGCAGCACAGGCTGTGCAGAATCAGGCTTGGGCTGGTGCTGGGACCTCACTCTGCTCCCACTGACGTCAGGCAGGAACGCCCGGGGAGCTGGAGCTGAGTTAGAAACACCCTTGCTGGTGTGAATTAGGTTACAGCATGATCCCAGGAGAAAGAGGGAATTCATTAAACCACCACCACATGTGGAGTGAGGTTATAATTGATTTTAAGTGAGTGCAGCTGACAAGCTGAAAATATATTTTGCCCTCCAAAGAGTTTTTATTCTTTCAGCTCTGCCTTGCTGCAGCCTTCCAATACCACAGATGTACTTATAGGCAATGGTTTGATATTGGTATGAGCTTTTCCCAGTAGCGATACAGAGCAGACCGAAGCACTATCAATTATAGTAAGCTATTTAAAGAAGGATGCTGCTTTTCTATTGCTCTGCTCTTTGCGCCTGTTCCCACTCCCACTCTGTGGGAGGTAAGTGGCATTTTCCAGCTTTTGCATTAAACATTTCTTTTCTTTTTAGTTTTGTGTTGCTTCACTGTTGGATTATTTAGGAGTAGCCTAATGAAAAACCACGCCAGCTCCAAGCAAGCAACATAAATTCAATTCCAGGACCTGCAGGATTGCCCTTTGGAGATGCTCTTCAGATGCAGATATATAGGCACGTCCTAAAGTTTAACATCAGATTGCTGAATGTGCATGTCCTTGGCCAGTTTGGGTGATGTGTTTTAGCATAACCCAGCTCTGATCTTAGGAAAGCCACAGTGGTTACCCTTGCTCAACTGCCACTGAGGAGCCCAACTTGCTCTGATTATGTTCTTGGATCTCTGAGCCCAATCAGCTCTTTTTTTGCTTTAGCTTTGATCCCAGCAAAGCAAGGTGGCACAACTACATCAAAACTTTAAATCTGGATGATGGTGCCAAATCTCCCTCTTCTCTGTGCTCCAGGTACCATCACATAGGTCCTTTCTTATGGGAGAGTCCAGCTAGGAGCAGGAGGCCCTTCCTGTGGCATCCCAGAGAATCCACACTGGCTTCTCTCTCCCACCACTTCCACCCGAACTGCTAGGGAGAGAGGATCTTCCTTCCCAGGATGAAAAACATATTTTTGTGGCCACTGCAGTATTTTTTGTTGTTGCTGTTGTTTTTAAGGGTTGTGAAATACTCCCACTGAAACCTACTTGTGTGTGTTTGGTGGAAGACACGCTAAAAAGTCAAGCCAGCCAAACCCATTACAATGCCCCTCCTCCTGTGACTGCCTCAGCCTCTCTGATGGTGGGGAGAATTTTCAGGTGGGATGGGTTCCCCTTGCTGTGATTTAGGGCTCATCTCCCTGTGAAGCTCTTGCTGAGCCAAGCAGGGTGCAGATCCTGCATTCTCTTTGTTATTCTGCAAAACAGCTGCTTATTTCTGCTTAATCCCTTTCCAAACAGATATGCCTAAATCAGAAAAGTTTGGTGTTATGCCAGCCCATGCAAGAAGCTGTCCTGAATTATATCTTCAAGCAAATGGACTCTTGTGGGGCTTTAAAATGCTGAACACCTTCTTGGCAGAGTCTCATTGAATAAAAGTGAGTAAAAAATTGGCCCAGCCTATAGAGGAAGGGGGATCTTGGCCCAGCTTTCTCCTAACAGTGCTGCAGCAGTGCCGTGGCAAAGGGCATGCAGCTCTACTGAAGGAGGGAAGAAGAAAAAGTGTCCTCAATATTTAGACTGATGAAGTAAGAGGTGTTTTTCTGAAGAGGACAGCCCCACATAGTATTTCTGTGCACTGGGCAATTGCACGTGTTTCCACTGCTGGTTGAGGTGTCTAGTGCCAAGATCCAGCCTGGGTTCTCTTATAGGGCCAATGTCCCCTGGCAGTCAGGACAGCTTGTTTGCCCAGAAGTCGCAGGGAGGCTGGGAGAGATAAACACCTATGCAACCGATGCTGCCTGCATAAGCAGGGACCCACTGTGTTGGGACTGCTGGAGGCTCAGCCAGGTCTAAGTCCTCAGCTGCAAGGACCATAGTGGAGCATTAGGAGGGGTCACAGCTCCATGGGGGACATCAGAGACATCTCTCCAGCTTGGGGTTAAAGCTTTGATGTTGCCTTGGCCATGTGAAAGCAAGGCCAAACCTGGCTTGACTCAGTTCCTAGATGGGTGACTATTTGAAACAGCCACCCAGGTACTATGTTATCCTTGTGGAGAACATCAGTCTGTAGCAATTTGGATCCACAGCTGCAGATACAGTTGAAACTTTAAAGAGTCTGTCAGTAAGGTGACACTTTAAATAATTTTTTTTTTTCCTTTCCTCCCTCCCTTCCTGTCTTCCTTTCTTTCACAGGTCAAGAACCTCATGAATTTCCCTCAATAAAACAAATGTACAACAAAATCAGAGCTTTGGGTTACCTCATTGAAGCAGAGTTGTTGAAGGCTGACCATGAGCTGTGGTAGAGCAACCAGCATGCAAATGGCTCTGCTGCAGAGCAGGATCCCCACAAGGCAGCATGGCCTGTTGGAGCTGATGGAGGAGAACTCCTCAACATGTCAGTACTGGTTTGGGTGGCTGCCAGGGCAGGGCTGGGAGAAGGAGGGCTGGTGAACCACAGGTGTCATGGATAGGATTGCAGATGTCAGGTCTGGGGAGAAGTGTACACATGTGCAACAACCAGCAGATTCATGTGCATGCATGCATTTGTACCAGAGTGGGTACCCTGTCTCCAACCTTGTATATACACACTCCTTGAACACAAGAGTGAATGCACACTTGCCTGTACACACTCAGCAACCCCTCCAGGCACAAGAACCCTGCTCATCCGTGTCTGGTCCCAGTTGCATTTTTCCACCTTCCCCTTTGCACAGTCTCACAGACATGTCTATGTCTGTTAGCTGGGCTGGGAATCCATAGTCCAATTGCAGTCCTGTCAAGCCTTTGCCTCTGGAGGGTCCTGGAGGGAAAAGTTTGGAGGAAATAAGACTGGAAGGCCTTTCTGGCAGTGAGGGCTAAGTGCTGGCAGCAGGAGAGAAAACATGGAAGGAAGTGAGTCTCTGATAGGGAAGTAAGTCTCTGCTTACTTCCAGCAGTACTGAAATATCAGGAGGATACCTGTGTCAGCTGTAGACATGGCACCATGCCCTGCTGCCCTGACCCTACTGATTTCCTCCAAAATGGCCCTCCTAGCTGCTGGAGTTTTACAGTCCCCCAACCTTTCCCAAGGGAAAACAACCATGTGCAGACATTTTCTGGCCATCTCTTGTACTTCCAGGAGGGATGTCTTTGCCTGGCAAGTGTTTGACATCATGCAGAGGGGATGCTTGTATGTCCAGGATGTTCCAGAACTCAGACCCAATGCAGGCACCAAAAATAGGAGAAGACAAAAATAATTTCAAATAAAGCTTGACTCTTAAAAGCAATAAATAACCTTGAACAGATGCTAGCTTGCTCTTAATCTAATTATCTATCAGCAGGCCTGTGCAGTGCTGGGAGGAAAGACACACCAACCCCATCTTGTTGGAAAATGGGGCTTCAGCTTCTTCTGGCTTTTGGATTCCAACTGTGCCCCAAATTCAGCAGAGCTCTCCAGAAACATGATGTCTGCAGGCAGGTCAGAAGCATGGGTGAGCTCCCTATCCAAGGGCATGCTCGACAACCTGAGGGCACTGGTTGTGACCTGCCTCATGCATGGTTCAAAGCACTTGGATGGTGACATTTAGCTATAAAGTATAAGGTCTTGAATTTCTTTGGCCCAAAGCTGCTGCAATGTTTTCTTTCGGAGTTCTGTGGTGCAGGCTCTTGGGGAAGAGCCTCCTACAGTCCAGCATGCTTATTTTACAGCCTCTTTCCCTGTCCAGAGTATTGCAGGGCTTTGCGTCCTGGCCAGGACGTGACTTTTGGGGTGCCACAGCCTTTGGGGTACCCCAAAGGCAGAGCAAGCTGGACCGTCTGCCTGTCCACCCCACTGTGCCTGAGGAGAAACCTCTCGGGAGGTGGATGAACAGAGCAGGCTTTGGTCTCCTTACAGCAGACCAGAAGGCTTTGGTCTACTTCAGGCTATTTGGCCGCCTGACCATGTGGACTTGCTGTGAGAGGCTCAACTAAGCTACACTGTCAGAATCCCAAGCAAGTGGCCACTGTTGGGTCTCATGTCTCAGCATCCCTGGACAGCAGTGGGAAAGCTGACAGAAGGCAAGCCCTATCCACTCACTGCAATGGCCGTTAAAGTATTTCTGGAGGAGTGCCCTTTCCAGAGTAAATTGTTGGCAACCACGCACTAATTCTCTTTTCATAAACAAAGCAAAGGAGATAAAAGCAGCAGTCTCGTCTGCCTCTGCCTTCTCCCTCTAGCGCAGTGCCTCATGCCCTTGCACACCCAGTCCTGCATCTGGAGCTCATTGTGCACAGCTGCTGGGAAGAGGCAGATGGGAACCAGCTGAGTCTCCCTTCACGCTGCCGCCAGGTCCAAGTATGGTCCTCATGAGGGAATGTGTGAACAGGGCCCCACTTGGGCCGGGGACCTTGGTTCAGATTGATGGTGGTAGCTGAAGCATTGAAAAGCTGGGTGGTTCAGTCAACCTGTAAGCAGAAAAGCGAATGCAATGCACTGCCAAGATGGCTGCAGTCTATTTGTAATAGACAAATAAAATCTGAGGCAGAACAGCCTCAGATTTGCTCTGTCCCATTCCTCCCTCTCAACCAGCAGTGGCCAATTGTTCATAAACATCCTGTCTGGGAGATCTTTTTGTGTGTGCCCCGACTTTTGTCTTATCCCTAATGCAAACTTGTCATGGGCAACATGACCAGGGTGTTTCTCTCAGACCCTGCAATGATGTGGTCAATTTGGGAGCTGAAACCTTAAGCTTTGGTTTTGGGAAGGCTGATTTGAACCCTTTTTGCAGTCAAGGGTCATTGCAGTTGGATATCTCCACACAGGAAGATTTTAGTGTGTGTGTGTGGGGGGGGGGGGTGGAAATACGACCACAATGGAAATATTTGCATTTTTCCCTTTGCAAGAGAAACATGTTCCACTTGGGGATTGGAAGTCACTTCTGTTTAGAAACTTGAGGACAGTATAGTACAATGTGAAAATAAACAGCAAAGTAGCCCAAGTCACTGCAGCCCAAAATGAAACATTGCCAAATAAATGAAACAGAGCCTCCTGATTGGCCCAAGAGAACTGGAATAAACACCTTAGCTGATCCCAGGCTCCACCAGAGCTTTTTCAGGGCATCTCCCAGGGGATTCTGCCACTGTTTCGGGGCACGATATTTTGGGGGGAGTGGGAACACCCATGGTACTCACTTGGACTTGTCAACCCTTTAGAGAAATGGTGTTTAGATGTAGAGCTTAGGGATATGGTTTAGTGGGGACTGTTAGGTTAGAGGTTGGACTCAATGATCTTGAGGTCTCTTCCAACCTAGAAATTCTGTGATTCTGTGATTCTGTGTGTTTTAACCAAGTCTGAATATGAGAGATGGCAGCTGGGAGCTGGTCTCTCCTGGCATGGGAGCGTGCCTGCCCAGACCCAGCTCCCCTAATCAATCCTGCCTCATCAGAGTTTATTCTGTGCTTTCCTGACAAGCCCTAGCTAGGGTGCTGGTTTTCATTAGCTGCAGGCAGGTGGTTCACTGCCTCATTCCTTCTTCCATCCTTAGGAAAACCTCAAGGAAATTACTCGAGTCGACCACACTCTGGGAACTCCTAAATGATCCTCTCTGCAGGAGTCAAATTATAGAGCACTGTGTCCTGGATTACTTTTTGCAATCTGAGACCTGCGGTACTTCAGCTACACCTTTACTTGTTTATCTAGATTCCCTCTGAAACCAGAGATGTGTCGCTAGCATGATCCCCATTATAATTTGATTAGTTACATTTTCAGCAAGTTGCCTATTACATTTTCTCATTCTAGTTCCTCTTTTTGCCTTTTCTTGGAAAAAACAGATATTGTGCATATGGGGGGTCATTGCCGAATCTTATTTCTTCTGGCAGCCCAAGTGTGCAGCTGGAGACCTGGATTCAACTGCAAGCAGGCTGTCTCCAGGGTACAGTCCAGCCTTTTCAAAGGATGCTTTGCAAGGGTGTGTCCAGCATCTGGTAAAACCCAATCTTCGTCTTCTCCATTTTAGGCTGTTATCTTACGTGTGGGTAGCTGTGACTTGTCTTTGCAACCCCACCCCACCCCCAAAACACTTGGGATCCTGACTGCACAGTGGCTAAGGTAGAGCCACTGGGTGTGAAGGAGCTTGGGGAGCTAATGTGAGCTGCACGTGCTGCAGTGGAAGAGATGGTGAGTTGGCGCTGGAGGTAACCTCTATTAACCTCTCCCACTCCAGACTGACAGTGTGTCTGCCCATCAGCCCATACGTGGTACCTGGACCCACACCCAAACCTCAACTATAAAAGGAACAACTGTGTATTTTCCCTTCCTTGCATGCTAAATGATTTTCATCTGTTGGGTTTTCTTCCTTTCTTTTTTCTTTTCTTTTTTTTTTTTTTATTTCCACAGAACCATAGCAGACAAGTGACAAATCACCCTTAATCCACCTGAACTGCTAAATCTCTTGGTAATCCCTTCTTCAGCACATCTCCTGTGCTGCTCCCCTACAACAGACTTTCTTGGTACCATTAATCAGTGACTCTGGCTCCTGCCTGCCTCATGGTACGTGCCTATGCAGGGAGACTCTCTCATTTATAAAACTTGGGGACCTCCCACAGTTTCCCATTCCCCATGACCTTGGCAAAGGGGTCAGTGCACAGAATAAACTGGTTGAGAGGGAAGGTCCTAATATTTATATGGGAAGCCATTAGCAGGCAATATCTTATCTACCTTCTGTTTTGAAGTGGAGGCTGAGAGTGATAGCATTGGAGCTGCCTCTGAATGCCCTGACATGCTCTGTTTTGCCATCCATGCTCAGCTGGGTTATAGCATGTTCTTATTGTTGCAGGAAGAGAGTGATGGGTACAGGAGGATTTCAGAGAGGGGAAAAAAAAAAAAAAAAAAAAAAAAAAAAGAGAGAGAGAGAGCTCAGATCCCTAAGTGCTGAATTTTAAAGCCAAACAAATGTTCCCAAATCTATCCTGATAGATAGATTTGACAATGGACAAATGTGTTTTGTCCCTCTTGGACAATGTGTTTTAGCCAGCTGGTCCCTGTGTAGATGATGTGCTGTTGTACAATGAAGCAGGCCTAGCTAGAGGATGGAGTGATCTTTCCTGGTCTTAGAACATATTAACCTATGAAATAGATATAGTCTTGTAAGCTCTCCTGAGCCTTCCCCAGATATTGAGCATAGCTTTGAATGCAGAGGTGGTCAAATGTTTTCTCCAGCAGAAAATGTCTGGGGAAAACACAGCAAGAGTGAGGGAAAACAGACATCACCACGCAGTTCACCAGTCTGAGAAAAGTTAATTCCCAGAGTCAACGGAATGGTTGCTCCTCCTTTCCACTCTTTTCTGAAAGCCCAGCATGGGATGGGTTCACATGGAACAGAAAAAAACACATTTTGTAAACCAGAAAGTTCCCTCTTGGCAGCGTTTTGATTACATATATGCTTTTAAAAATCAGGCTGTCCTGCACCCATGAGGGATGTTTCTATGTTCCTTTGTAGCTTTTGTTCTAGTTTAGTATCCGGATCTGTCTATTTGGATTGTTTGTACCAAGATTGATTTCTGAGGTGTTACTATTTGTAGTTGCTGAAATTCTACCCTGACACCATCACATGCTGATTATTAAATGCTGAGAAATGTAAGATCTTGGCTCTTAACCTAGGAAAGACACTTGATGACTTCAAGGAACAGGCAGGCCGGGGACAGATCGGGGGGAGGTGGTACACCACATGTTGGCCTGCTGCTGAACCAGGGAAGGAAGCATAAATTGTCAGAGAGAACACAAGGTTTTGCCTAAGTTACGGATGCCCATTTGCTGGATGGTCCAGATCAAACATGAGTTCATTGATGTGATAAACCAGGGCTCTGCTCATGTAACTGGGGAAGGGCCTGGTGTGGAGTAGCTGCATGGGGAAATAATCTTCATGTGGGCCAAATCTGCTTCTTTGTGCACCCAGAAAGATGTTGGAGACACACAGCATGTCAGGTTCCCAAAGTTGGTGGTAAACACCCCTCATTTCCTCCCAAGAAGGATGCTGGAGCCTTTCAGCACCACATGTGAACATGGCCCAGGCAAGTGGGGACACTGGAACTGGCATCTGGCATGGTTCAACTCTGAGTGCAGCACACACAGTTGTCATTTTGTTCTTCTAAAACGAAATAGTACATTCTTGGGAATGCAAACAGTTCATAACCTTCCTACACCACTCCCTGCCACTCTCCTGTAGGCTGGATCCTGTGGGTAAGGCTGTGGGCCCAGGCTCCCCCAAGGAGTTAGACCCATGCCAAAGGTGCTGCTCTCCAGAAGGAGCTGTTGTCCCAGTGAGTGTGCAAAAGTGGTGATACAATATAGGTAGGGCAAAACATGGAGCCGTCTGACAGACAGTGGTAACACACTTGGCCATCCAAGGAGGCAGGTGACTAAGGGGGTGCAGGGTTTTGGGGACTGTTGATGTTAAGGGCTGGCTACCAACCTCATGCTTCCACCCCATTTTCTCTGCTGACACCAAAGGGCTCTGGATCAGGTATAGTTAAATTCATTCTCAGTGGCTATATCTTTTCACTCTGCTGTTACCAATCTGTGCCATGAGATGGGTTTGGCCTAGATGATCAGAAACCCTTTGTTGTATGCCAACCAGGGCATGGGGTTATTATGGTGAGGCACAAAAAACATGCTCAGCATCTGAGGACCTGTTGTACATTTAGGACTGGAAGCCTCCCATCTCCCTGATCCTCCACCCTTACACTGGAAACCCACATGAGAAATTTGTCACAGTGAGAGTGCCTACTGGTACTTCTTTTATGTCTGTGCAGGCAAAAATCTGAGGGTGATGGAGGACAGCACCAACAGTCATTGTGTTTGGACAGGACCTACCCATCCTACCTGCTGAGGCCCAGCTGCATGTTTGGGACTACCACTGGAGCCACGCTGGTATTTGCCTGTTGATGATCATATCCCAAAACATTTTTGTTCCTGTAAAGCCTTGAGAAAATGTTCTGCAGGAGATGCACAGGGAGCAGCTAAGAACTGCAGTTGTGAGTGCCCTAGGCAGAGTTTCCCAGTGAGATTTTCTGAAGGAATTCTGCATTCCTCCTGCTGCTTTGCCCTGATTGTACACTTTGCAGTCAGCTGAAAGTGACTGGAGCAAAGAGATATAGTGTTGTTACCTGGTAGACTCTGCAGGAGCTTTTCAAAGGAATTGGAGGTACATGAAGACCTTTTTCCAATTGTTTTTACTGTGACCATTTAATGCCTTGTCTTAAATGCCTTGGTTCTAGCAGAGGTATATTGCTGATGTGACTGTGAGACACAGGTCATGTCCTCTTGGAGTCTCTATCTTGGGACAAGGTGTCTGGTTGGAGAAATGCCTCCAAGAACTCATCCCTTGTCTTCCGATGCTACATATGCAATGGGAAACTAAATGGAGACAGGGCGTAGATCTACACATTGTCTTGTTATTGTCTGTACTGCACAAACCTTGGCAAAATTCCAAAAAGTGCTCTTCAAACACCATACAGACATGGTCCAAGGATAGTCCAGGGCCAGGACCATTCCCAGCAAACAGCCTGAATGTGGCTGCAGTGGTCTGGGAGAAAGCAGTGGGGATGGAAGCCAAGCTGGGTCACTTGGCCTCGGGGACAAAAAATACTCTCTGTCCCATTTGTTTAGTAATGTAGATTAATCCAGTGTATTTTCAAATCCGTTGCTGTGTATTATCTGCTGTGGACTAACTGCACTAGGTGACCTCTTTGAAGGCAAATGATCTTAACTGTTCACCTTCTCACATCTCTGGGTAAGTAACACAATTTGCCCCACAGAGTTCAACCCTCACATTTTCCTGTACTCACCTGGGTGAGTGCTCAGTACTCAATGCTCTGCAGTTGCTTGCTAGGTCAAGATAGGACACTAACCAGGAAACTTCTCTAAAACACGGCCTTATTTGTCTTCAGATGTAGGGATTGCTGGGAGTGTGAATCATGTAGCAATAAAGTCATGTTTGGTCATGCCAATTCTATTACCTAAGCAACCTTTGTTCTGTCTGTGTTACAGCCTCACATCACCTTCTGGAGTTAAGTGATCTGTCACAGCACTACATGTGTGCCACTCAGAACAATTCTCCATTCACAGCTTCATGACTTGTTTTCCATAGCTTCCCCACATGTGCTCATCTGTTTAATTTACATTGACTGCTCCTGCTAATTCAAGTTCCTTGTGGCCCTGTTTTTCAGGGGTACAAAGGTCTTGAATTTTCTATCTGTCTGAAGCTTCTCGTCTGATGCTACAGGATCCTTCGACGCAGAGCATTCTACAGTGCATGAAAATTCAAATCTTTCTCCTCCACAGCCCTGAATAAAACTGCATCTGGGGACATCTGTGTATGCAGGAGTCTGCATTTGTGCTGCAGGGTGCAGAACTCATATACTCTCAGCAAGAAATCTGACTAGTGCCTGAACATCATGACTACACCTGCCCTTGCAGGACAAGCCTGAGGCTAACCAGTATGGCTGGGCTGGGCTAATACTAAAAAAATCCTTTTGCCATCAAGGAGTATCCATATGCAAACTACCTGTAGGGAATGCTTGCTTGCTATTGTAATTCCCAAACAGCACCTGAGTCAGGTCTGGCATAGTGCTAGCTAGATCAGGCCATACCTGAACCATGGACCGTTCCAAATTTTAGCCTCTGGATGAATTTAATCAAGAGCCTGTGCCCTCATGCTGTATGATTTACTAGTATAGGTGTAGCCTTTGTCATAGGCAAAGGGCAAGAAGTCACAGTCCCTCATGTGTGGAGTTCTAGGCAGAGAAGTTGAATGGCTAGTGCCTTCTTGGGCCTAGATGAGGAGCTGTAAAACCTCAGGGTGAGCAAACCATGAGTTATGTCCCCCATCCTCATGCCATGGTATATTTTTTGCTCTTATCTGTGCTGGAGTGCACCCAGGCCTGCAGGAGGAACCTGGACACACTTCAGGGGACTTCCAGCTCTGTCCCAGGAAACACACACCTACTAATAGAACTGTAAAATCTTCCACAATCCCCTACTGCCCAACTGCCCATTTGCAATCCCCTTGACCACCCAAAACACCCCAAACTTTCATTAAAACTCTTTCTGTGAATTTCATCCTCAACCAACTATCCATGTTTACTGTTGACTATACTTAAACCTGATAATAACACATAATGGCTTTTTTTTGTTCCAGCCAAGTGCAGTGAAGCTCGATGCTAGATCAATTCACTCTGGCCATAGTGAACAAACAGCCTTTCCATGTCCACAGACCGTGATGTACAATGCATATTCACCTGGGCTGGAGACACTCCAAAGCAAGGCCTGTGCTGCTGAACACAGGAGGGATCCCCTAGCCAGTCTGGATCAGGTGCTCTTCTCTGAAGCTCAAAGTGATCCCTGAAGTTATCAGTCTCATGATGAGCTTCAGCTCAAGTTCCTGGAAAGGTGGCTAGAAGATAAGACCTGGCATGGGGATGGAGGCAGCTGTGTCATGAAGTCTGTTGGTTGGCAGGGGGGCTCATAGACCTGGTGCCTACACCTCTACTAGCTAGCCTTCCCCATCCTTCCCAAACAGAGATGTCCTTCTGTGACACAAGGCACAGAAGACAGCATATCACATGTAAATCCTGGGCCTAGAGACTGCAAAGGAAGCAAACTAGTGCATGTGTAGAGGTGCTTTCAATCATGAGGTATGCTTTAATTACAAGCAATGTCAGGGCTGGTTTTTGTTTGTTTGTTTGTTTTGTTTTGTTTTGTTTTGTTTTGTTTCTTTAGTTTCTCAGAGGAATCTGTCCTGGCTTCAGGACCATAATGGTCTTCATTATTGGGTGACATATTTCTCGTAGCTGCTCAGTTCAAGGTGCTCAGTTCTCATAGCACACTCAGTTCAAGGTGCAGCAGAACACCTGGAACACACCACTGATCCCTCCCCACGTCCTTGCTTTATTTCGTTCTTTTCCTGGTTGTGTCATCCACGTCAGTACTCCCCTACACAATTCATTTTCACACCGGGACCAAGCCTAGAGGTGAGTTGCAATATTCTTTTCTTTTTTGATAGATATTGGAAGAGAGAGGGGCACTGGGCACATCCAGGAGGGGGGATCTGAAAACATCTCCTTTCACCTCTGTTTGCAGGGAGGTGTTTTTTCCTTCTGTACTTTCATGTCATGCCTAGCAGTAATATAGGTGCAACTGATATACAAGATAAGAAGTGAAAGGTGCCAGTCCCGCCAGCTTCTTCCAGAAATACTTTTGTTGTTGGAAATTTTACTGCTACCTGTAAAACCATTGTGGGGTGCAAGATGGTGCTGTATGTGTTTCTTTGTCCCTAGGTCAGTGCTGTGAATAAGAGGTAGAAAAACAAGCATGCATTCAAGTCTGTCCTGGTAAACTTCCCTGAGAACTGTAAAAGCAACAAGACCCAGACTTTGGGACACAGACTGCAGCCCCATGCTCTTAGAGACCACAGCAACTGCAGAAAGAGCAAGTACATCAGTGAGAACAATGTGGGTGTTGCAAAGCTGAAAAACCAGAACTATTATCGGTAAAGAAGGGCAGCTAGCAGGAAGCTGGTGATTAAAGGGCAAAGGTTTGTGCTGCCAAATGTTTGTGCTATGACAGAGGCTGTCAGACATCAGGGGAGGTAGTCACATAAGAGCTGGCTGTGCCTTACTGTTCACAGGACACTGAAGAAAAACAGTTACAAACAAAACCATTAATTAGTACAGATAAACCATTTTGGGGGAAAATGCAACAGTAAGCAAATGGTTTTAGTACTCAAGGACCGTGATTATTTTTGAGCACAGTGGGATAGCAGGATGGTGGTAATAAAAGGGATGGTGGGTCTGTTGATTCTGAGTCCTTGGTTACAGTGAAGCCAAAAACAAAACAACATGTTAAAGACTGCTAATTAAGAAAGCTAAATTCATTTTGCATCCCAAGCTAAATTCATTTTGCATTCCCAGCGCCAAGCAATAGACAGCAGCCAGTCACAGGGAGGAATGATGTTTAACAAAATGGCAGCCAAAACAATGGTGGCACCTTGTCCTAAAAGGGTGATACCTTTTTCTAAAATGGCAGCAAAATCAAAATGGCGCCCCTGCCCCCCTCCCTCCCCCCGCATGTACCTGTGTGGAGAAAGGCCTTCAAGGCATGTCCTGTTCCTGCCAGCCAATGACAGCAGAGCACGTGAGAAAGGGCGCGGGGTTTCTGGAGTAAATGGCTGCTGAGGCTTGCAGTAGAGCTGGACAGCGGGGCCGTGCCATGCCTGCCCTGGCCCCAGGTGCTGCTGTGGGGCACCTCGGTGTCTGTGCAGGGCACACCATGTCATGTGGGCCTGAGGAACTTTCCTCATGGGAAACGAGTGGTGGCAGAAAGGGGCTGATGGGAAAAGATGGTGGGTGGTGGTGAAGGGAAGGCTGGGGTTGGTGGCAAGACATCTCTGCCCCATGGGAGTGTGGGTGTGCTGGCACCCTGTGTGTGGTGCTCTAGTGGTGACCTGTCTGTAAAGAGAATGCTGGAGGTAGAATCATAGAATATCCTGAGTTGGAAGGGACCCATCAGGATCATCAAGTCCAACTCCTGGCACCACACAGGTCTACACAAAAAATGAGACCATATGACTGAGACCACAGTCCAAATGCTTCTTAAACTCCAACAGGCTAGGTGCAGTGGCTACTTCCCTGGGGAGTCTTTTCCAGTGCACAACAACCCTCTCGGTGAAGAACCTCTTCCTAATGTCTAGCCTAAACCTCCCCTGCCGCAGCTTGACGCCACTGCCCTGGGTCCTGTCACTGGTCACTAAAGAGAATAGATCGGCACTTGCACCTCTACTCCCCCTTGTGAGGAAGCTGTAGGCCATGATGAGGTCTCCCCTCAGCCTCCTTTTTTCCAGGCTGAACAGCCCAAGTGACCTCAGCCATTCCTCTTCCCCTCTAGGCCCTTCAACAACCCCGTAGCCCTCCTCTGGACACTCTCCAACAGTTTCACATCCTTTTTGTACTGTGGTGCCCAGAACTGCACATAGTATTCGAGGTGAGGCCGCACCAGGGCAGAGTAGAGTGGGACAATCACTTCCGTCAACTGACTAGCAATGCCGTGCTTGATGCACCCCAGGGTACGGTTGGCCCTCCTGGCTGCCAGGGCACACTGCTGGCTCATATTCTGCTTGCTGTCAGCCACAACCCCGAGATCCTTTCTATGGGACTCCTCTCCAGCATCTTGTCGCCCAGTCTGTACATGTAGCCAGGGTTGCCCCTTCCCAGGTGCAGGACCCAGCACTTGATCTTGTTAGATTTCATGTGGTTGGTGATCGCCCAGCTTTCCAATCTGTCCAGATCTCTCTGCAAGGCCTTTCCACCCTCAACAGAGTCAACAGCTCCTCCAAGTTTAGTGTCATCAACAAATTTGCTCAAAATACCTTCTAGTCCTCCATCCAAATCATTTATAAAAACATTGAAGATGGCTGGCCCTAAAATGGATCCTTGAGGGACCCCAGTAGTGACTGTCTGCCAGACTGATATGGCCCCATTTACCACAACCCTTTGAGCCCTGCCCGTCAGCCAATTGCTCACCCATCGTATGATGTTTTTGTTTAGCTCTGTGCTGTACATTTTGTCCAGTAGGATCCTCTGGGAAACTGTCAAAAGCTTTACTGAAATCCAAAAAGATGACATCAGCTGGTTTCCCTGAGGTAAATGTATCTCAGGTCTTCTTGCTATTGCCCAAGCCCCTCTGCATACTCCCCTTCCACTACCTCCCCCTCCACCCCTCCCAGCTACACAGTGCACCCAGAGCCATGGCCATGCTGTGGTCAATGTGCACCCATCACTCAGTGCCCTGTCTGTGGTGTTTGCAGATCCATTCATGGAGCTCATGGAAGGGAAGAAGATCTCATGGAAGAAACTCCTCACCTTTTTCCTCTTCATCTTCATATTCAGCTCCTGCCTCTTTGTTTCTCTTCGTCAGTTCAGGACTCCCAAGCCAGAAGATCACAGTTCCCATCTCTCTACTCAAATGCCTCTTGCTGAAAATACCAGCACCCCACCGAAGAGTGAGCACAGGCTGACCATCCTGCTGTGGAGTTGGCCCTTTGGGCAACACTTTAATTTCATAAACTGCTCAGAGTTATATGGCACACCAGACTGTTACTTCACTGTCAACCGCAGCTGGTCCCAAAAGGCAGATGCTGTGATTATGCATCACAGGGATGTGTGTTGGGACACAAGAAGACTGGCCCAGATCCCCAGACTCCCATCCCAGCGCTGGATCTGGTTCAACTTGGAGTCTCCAAGTAACTCTCCAAACTTAGGTGCTATGGACAACCTCTTCAACCTGACTATGTCATACCGAAGAGATTCAGACATCTTCAGCCCCTATGGGGACCTGCAGCTCCTCAGACAGCCCCAGCCCTTCAACATCCCATCCAAGACCAAGATGGTAGCTTGGGTAGTGAGCAATTGGCAAGAAGGCTCCCACCGGGTAAAGTACTACCAGGAGCTGAAGAAATACATCACTGTGGATGTCTATGGGCAGCATCACTTGCCCCTGCCCGGCAACAAGCTTCTTCCCACTGTGTCCCAGTACAATTTCTACTTGGCCTTTGAGAACTCACAGCATGAAGACTACATCACTGAGAAGCTCTGGCGGAACGCTTTGTCCTCTGGCACTGTTCCTGTTGTACTAGGGCCGCCCCGAAAAAACTACGAGCACTTCTTGCCCCCTGACTCCTTCATCCACGTCAATGACTTTCCCAGCGCCAGTGACCTGGCACGGTACCTGTGGGAGCTGAGCAGGGACACTGAGCGATACCAGCGCTACTTTCAGTGGCGCAAGTGGCTGAAGCCTGTGGCGGTGCCTGGCTGGGCCCAGCAGGTCTGCAGAGCCTGTCACTTCCTGCAGACAACAGAGACCAGATACAGGGTTGTGCCCGATCTGTCTGAGTGGTTCGTGTAACTGCTGTTTGCTCAGCTCTCTGCTCTGTTGTGATCATTTTGTCCTTACTGGGGTTGCAATTCTATGGGTGAAATAGCAATATATAGATTATAAACCTGTTTCGAGGACTTTGTACTGTGCAAAAGTGCCACTGAAAGTGGCAGCCACATTGTGTGGCATTGTATGACTGCTGCAGGATGCCCAGGTCCTGACCCTGCTTTGTGTGACCCTCCCTGACTGCCAGGTGCTGCATCAGGATGCTCAACAGGCTGGAAAATACTGATTTCATTTTACAAGTCTGGGGTCTTTTTGGACAGCTTAGTAAGTCAGCGTGGTTTTGAGGAAGGGTCTGACAGAAGCAGAGTGGTGTAGGTGAGGTGCTGAGGATGCCCCTGAAAGCACCGTGAGGTTTGAGCACCCACAGCATCCTGTGGCAAGGAGATGCTCAGCAGGGCCATGTGATGTGCTGCCTCCTCCTGTGTGCCTGGACATAGCAACGTCTCACAGCAGCTGATGCCTCTAGGCCATGTGTTTCTGTGTTTGACCTCTATCAAGCTTCCTGCTGCTGTTCAGGTCATACCACTGTAAACTTTGCTTTCCAAGTTGGGGAGCCCCATTTTTTGGAGATGGGGGACCCAGTTTTGCCTTCCCAGCCTCCAGGCATTCAGTTTGTTTTCTTGGCTGCTGCTGAGCCCAGAGATGAGGTTTTCAAAGGTCTGTCCTAGCCCCAAGATATTTCCATGAGGAAAGTCAGCTCAAAGTCCATCTACATACAATTGTTTTCTCAATCAGCAGCATTTAGTAAAGATTTCCAATGAATTCCCTCTACATTTCTTCGTGAAGTCATTCTGTAGCAGATGGTCCATCCACAAGACCTTACCTTTAGGATTGAGAGTCCCTTATTTTCATTAGTGGCCTTTTCCACCACCACCACCACCTTTTTTTTTTTTTTTCTATTTGCAGATTGGTTGAATATATTGGTCATCATAAACCTAAGAGTAAATCCTTCACTCTGAAATCTGAACTTTTATCCCTTCCCACTGTTAGTGTCTTGAAGAACCTTTGCTAGAATTTAGTGAACCCCTTCGAAAATTCAAGTAGCGAAATGTACCATATCTTCTTTAGCCATGGACTTGCCAACTGCTTAAAAGAACAGTAATATATTTGTCACATCAATAAAGATTGATTAATTTTTACTGCCAAATAATTGTTTCTGTCCCTGCCTTGGCTACCTGCAGACACACACCTCCCTCTTCCTTTAGCCCGTAGCTCTTGGATGCATCAACCAACCCTGGTGTTCTTCCCACCTTTAAAGCCTGTTCAGTTCAGAGCAACTGGAGAAATTTAAGATATTAACACTATTAACTGAGCTGGTATGGATTTGAAATAAAGATAAATAATATTCTGCAGGTGAGCTCAGTGAGCAGTCTCTTCCTGTTGATGGATGGCACTGGGGAGTTGGAATGGATGGTTGCTCATTTCACTACTCTTGCTAGATCTGGGAGATGACACCTGTCCCACAGTAAAATCCTTCTGCCTTAAGACTGCCATAGGGAAAGCTTCAACTTTGGGCATTGGCTTCCAGCATTGTTTTTCTCTGGCACTGCCAGCAAAACTGATTACAAAATGGAGCAGTTGATTAAACCAAGCAGGAACATGGCCCTGCACATGCAGGCACAAAGTCCAGCTGCTTGAAAAGTATGTTCCCATTAAAAAAAAAGCAAACGTAAATTTACAGGAGCTGTTAGAGCTGACGTGTGCTGCATGTGTGAACACAGACAAGAGGAGCTTGCTCGTGGCTTTAACCAACATCATATAAAAAGCCTTCCCAGGAGGACACCACAGTGTAAAGCCCCATGAACACCTTCAGATCACCTGTAGTATTTTTTGCTAGCCTATTTTGAAGGGATGTGCTGTGGGGAGGAAGAGGAGTTCCTAGCAAGTGGCAATGTAGGGTGTATCAGGGCTGGACACACAGTTTTGGTCCTGCTGGAGGCTCGGTGTTGGTGTTTACTGAGATCACTCTGCACATTCAATAGATGTCTTAACAAACACCAATTCTGTTCCAGCTTGGATCTCTTTCCTTTGAGCAACCTCACTCCCAGTGGGAAAGCCAATACTTGTGAATAGGGGCTTCACTGCACACCCCCAAGACCTGTTTGCACAGCCCCTCACAACCTGGCTGGGGGTGCTGGTTGCCACTCCTTGCCATGAGCTGGGCTTAAGGCTGCCTGTGGCCCTCTGGAATGAACCATGCCCTGGACTGCCTGAAATTCTCCTTAACAGACCCACTAGCAACAAGTGAATATTACCAACAGCATGTCAGCAAACCAGGCTGAGTGGAAATTACAATGCAGCAATGTCATTAAAACAGTTAAGCTTCCATCAAGATGTCTCAGTGGTCGCCTCAGAAATAAACTATACTGCTAGGTGTTGTCAAGAGATCAAGGAACATTTTTATCCATCATGAAACGCAGGCATAACAGGAGCTTTGGGAGACCACCCAGCACAGTGCTATGGAGCAGGTTTATTTAGGTCCTCACTCAGGTTTTGGTTTACAGAGGAGCTCAGGGCTAGGAGGCAATGTTGCACCATGAGCTGCTGAAATTACAGGATTGCATCAATTCAAAGAACAGTGGGACAACCCCCCCCCCCCCCCCACAAAAAAAAATAAAAAAAAATCACCAAGAACCACTTAATGGAAAAATATCCTTCCCCGCCCCCGCCCCCCCCCCCCCCCCCCCCCCCCCCGGTTTAGTACATCCCCATCTGGTTTAGTACATCCCCAAGTTGAAAAAAAAAAAAAAAAGTTAAAAATGCCTTTCTAGAGCCTGTTCTTGGAAGGCACAACGCATGGCTGAAGCCTGCCCTGCAGCCTTGGGCTGAGATGCCTTCCTACACGCTACACGTACAGACCATGTCAGAGAGGGCACTGGTGGCAGCTTCTGGCAATGCAGCTTCTGGCAATGCAGCTTCTGGCAATGCCACACTGTGGTGGCAACACACCGTGGGAGTGAGGAAACACAACCATTTTTGCAGAGCCTGGATGGGGAAAGCCCTTCTGGTGTGGGGCTGGAAGGGGAGCTGACTACCCTGGTGGTCTGCAGGGAAGAGGGGCAAGGGAGGGACCGGATTTAAAACAACTGCTGGGGGTATATCAAGAGAGAGAAAAGGAAAAAAGGAAGGGAAGGGAAGGGAAGGGAAGGGAAGGGAAGGGAAGGGAAGGGAAGGGAAGGGAAGGGAAGGGAAGGGAAGGGAAGGGAAGGGAAGGGAAGGGAAGGGAAGGGAAGGGAAGGGAAGGGAAGGGAAGGGAAGGGAAGGGAAGGGAAGGGAAGGGAAGGGAAGGGAAGGGAAGGGAAGGGAAGGGAAGGGAAGGGAAGGGAAGGGAAGGGAAGGGAAGGGAAGGGAAGGGAAGGGAAGGGAGAAGAGGGGAGGGGAGGGGAGGGGAGGGGAGGGGAGGGGAGGGGAGGGGAGGGGAGGGGAGGCGAGGCGAGGCGAGGCGAGGCGAGGCGAGGCGAGGCGAGGCGAGGCGAGGAAAAAGAAAATCTGGAAATTTTCTGTTTGTAAATCCAAAGCATGTAAATCATATCACTGAGTTGTGAGGAAGAACCTTTCACAACCTAGAGTAGTTTTCAAGTGGAAGGAAATGCCTTTCCAAACTTGAAAAACTCCTCAGTGGTGAAGGGAAGCCCCAGGCTAGGGGGGGCATGCTCTGCAGCAGGAGGAGCATTCCTGCAAGTCAGAATGATCTCTGTGGCTGATGACAGGTGACACCACCTCACCTCGGAGCAGTGGCCAGCTTTGAAGTGCTAAAATGAGTGTTGATGGAGGGAGGTGTTGAATTGCAGGAGAGCACCTGAAAGAGCTTTGGACTCTTTGTCACGGGCAGCATGGGGACAGGTCTTGACACGTGCATTCAGTAGATGTCCTGCCTGCAGAGAGGGCCAATTCTCTCCAGTTTGGGCTATTTCCTCCTGTGGATAAACCTTTTTCCAACCACATGTAAAGCCAAACATAATTTATCCATCCCTCCTAACGCCTACTGCTGCTGCAGCCCCTCCAGCCATTGCCAGGGTGTGCTTGAGAGAGCCTGCTCTGCAAAACAGCTGCAAGAAATCCCATTATTGCCTTGTCAACCTCATAAGCCTAACTGCCTTCGCGGATAGATTCCTGCAGTCATTTGATACCTGTTATAAAGAGATGCATCCCACAGGCTTTGGGACTCTGGATAGGGAATGGGAGAACCCTGGGTAGGAAATGGGATCAGCTCTCACCTTTTGTGCTTGAGCCTGGGGTTTTTCTGGGAGCTCGAGGCCAGTGGGAGCAGGTTGGCTTTTATGAGTGTGGTTGCTGCTGGTGATTGCTTTTGGTTTATGACTGATTATCTAGTGCAGAGATGTTTGGCTCCTTGCTCTCAGTGGAGCTGCCATGGTGTTGTATCCAGTTGCATTGGTGTTAATACCACAGCAGACCTCCTGACTGGGTCAGCCTCATTCCTTCATGAGCCCCGGGGGCTCCATGGTCCAGGGAGTGACCTGGGGAGCCACAAGGCTCCTGCTGATCCTGAGGCCGGCCAGCCTCTGAGGCTGCAGGAGCAAAGGCTAAATACATATGCAGAGAGCAGTTTTATCAATGCTGACCTCATCCTCAGCCCCCAAATTGTACCACAGCCTTTGAGAGCATGACAAAAAAATACGAATCTGAGTGTCCTTGAAGCATTTAGGCCTGAGGATACCATGGGACTTTGTTGGAGCTTGCTCCCAGCCAGGCTTAAACCATGGGCCTTGAGGAGGGGCTGGTAGGGACGTGGGGACGTCAGGACAAAATACAGCACAAACCATCCTGCAGGGATGCCTCTGGGCAACACAGAGCCATGCACAGGCTGAATTTGTTATGGTGGGAAAGCTGAAACCGCAATTGGGAAACTCTGGAAGAGGCAACTTAATCAAAGGAAACATCTGGAAGGCTGCGCCAGGGCCTGGGGCTGGGAGACCGCACCAAAAAGCTGCAGTCCTGGAACGCTGGTGCTGGGGTTTGCAGCCTCCTTACCCCAGAGGTTTTTCCCATCTGCACCCACTTGGGAAAATGCCGTATGCCAGTGCAAGGGCTGCTTCAGTCCTTCACAAAGATTATATGAAAACGTCTCCGTTCCTCCAAATCTCCTCTGTTTTTACCCAAAGGTGATTGGAGTCAGACTGAAACATTTCCTGCTGATGCTTTTGGGCAGAGATGATTCAAAAAGCAGGGGAGGGGAGAGGTTTAGAGGGGTATTTCCCCCAAAGGAGAGCAAAAGGCTGATCCTTATGGGTAACTAGGGAGATGATAATATAAAAAATTGAGTTTTGGGGGCAGGGTGTAAGCATACCGTTGCAGTCTAAGGCTGGGGGTGGTCAGCCTTCAGCAGTGCCGGCAGGGCATGGAGAGCAGTGCAGGGTTCTCTCTCTCTGCTGGGGATGGGAAAGGGCAGTGGCCAATGACCCCAACCATTTCCAGAGCTTAAGAAGTAGCCCAGTGCAGGGGACAGGGAGCTGCTGTCCTGGCAGAGGGTGAAACTGCTGTCTGCAGCACCCGTGGGCTTTGCATCCATGGGACGCCTGCCCAGCAGAGCCCCCAGGGCCATAGGAGAGTGGAGAGGAGAGGAGAGTGGAGAGGAGAGGCAAGGCAGAGCTTGGGAGAAACAAATCCTCACCCAGCCCAGTGCAGTTTGCAATTTGGGAGGGTAACAAAAATGTCTCAGATACACCAAAACCCTGCAAATGCAGCAGCTGCAGCCTTCTGTGCTGAAGAGCTTCATCACAGCCAGGTTTGTCTTCAGTGCATGAAGGTGCCTGAACCAGCCCTGTAAAATCAATTCTTTCCAGCTCTCTGAGCCTACAGGCAGATCCTTACCGTGCTTTAGAAACCTGCTTCTCTTTTTGTCTGATGATACTGGGAGAGGAAACATGAAACTATGAAGATTGCTTTCTCCACAGCTGTCTAGCACCACTGAGCTCCCTCCTTCCCTTGCCACAAATCCCCAGCAGCAGCTGAAGCAACAATTATTAGTGTTCCTGGGCTTCTCGTTGTTGGTAGTGCCTACATTGTTGGTATCTCTACGAAAGAGATATGGGGAAATATGACTATAGATACACTTGATTTTTTTTTCTTTTCTTTTCTTTTCTTTTCTTTTCTTTTCTTTTCTTTTCTTTTCTTTTCTTTTCTTTTCTTTTCTTTTCTTTCTTTTCTTTTTTCTTTTCTTTTTTCTTCTCTTCTCTTGTCTTCTCTTCTCTTGTCTTCTCTTCTCTTCTCTTCTCTTCTCTTCTCTTCTCTTCTCTTCTCTTCTCTTCTCTTCTCTTCTCTTCTCTTCTCTTCTCTTCTCTTCTCTTCTCTTCTCTTCTCTTCTCTTCTCTTCTCTTCTCTTCTCTTCTCTTCTCTTCTCTTCTCTTTTCTCTTTTCTCTTTTCTCTTTCCTTTCCTTTTTTTTTCTGAAGACATGCAAACTGTACACTCTGGTCTTCACTTTTATTGTGGGCTTTCCAGTTTGAAGTGTGGCTGGGTTTATTTTCCCACAGTATTTCTTACCAGGAGGTAATTGTGAGACGTGCAAACTATTCAGTAGGGTTGAGCACCCTCAGCATCCCGTTTCCCAGCTGTTTCTTCTTCCATTTAAAAATGAATAAATGAGTATAGTACATCTTTTGGGAGCTTGGGATTTCAAGCTGGTGCTTTAAAGCAAGCATCAGCCAGTGAAACTCTCCCACATACACTATGCAATCAGGCAACACATACCCCATCCCCAAGAAATTGCACTCAAAATCTGTGCAGCCCCAGACCAGCAGCACATTCGCCTGCATGCTGTTGCCTGCAAATGTTGTTTTCTTTCTATTTTTTGTTCTCTTGAACAAGTCAGATTTTCCAAGCAGCCCTCTCCAATTTCACACAGAATCACACAGAATTTCTAGGTTGGAAGAGACCTCAAGATCATCGAGTCCAACCTCTAACCTAACACTAACAGTCCCCACTAAACCATATCCCTAAGCTCTACATCTAAACGTCTTTTGAAGACTTCCAGGGATGGTGACTCCACCACCTCCCTGGGCAGCCCGTTCCAGTGCCTCACAACCCTTTCAGTAAAGAAATTCTTCCTAACATCTAACCTAAAACTCCCCTGGCGTAACTTTAGCCCATTCCCCCTCGTCCTGTCACCAGGCACATGGGAGAACAGGCCAACCCCCACCTCTCTACAGCCTCCTTTAATGTACTTATACAGAGCAATAAGGTCACCCCTGAGCCTCCTCTTCTCTAGGCTGAACAAGCCCAGCTCCTTCAGCCGCTCCTCATAGGACTTGTTCTCCAGGCCCCTCACCAGCTTCGTCGCCCTTCTTTGGACCCGCTCAAGCACCTCGATGTCCTTCTTGTAGCGAGGGGCCCAAAACTGAACACAGTACTCGAGGTGCGGCCTCACCAGAGCCGAGTACAGGGGGACGATCACCTCCCTAGCCCTGCTGGTCACAGTGTTTCTGATACAAGCCAGGATGCCGTTGGCCTTCTTGGCCACCTGAGCACACTGCTGGCTCATATTCAGCCGACTGTCCACCATCACTCCCAGGTCCTTCTCTGCCTGGCAGCTCTCCAACCATTCCTCTCCCAGCCTGTAGTTCTGCTTGGGGTTATTGCGCCCCAGGTGCAGGACCCGGCACTTGGCCTTGTTGAACTTCATACAGTTGACCTCAGCCCATCGGTGCAGCCTATCCAGATCCTCCTGCAGAGCCTTCCTACCCTCGAGCAGATCGACACACGCACCTAGCTTGGTGTCATCTGCAAACTTACTGAGGGTGCACTCAATGCCATCATCCAGATCATTGATGAAGATGTTAAAGAGGACCGGCCCCAGCACCGAGCCCTGGGGGACGCCACTAGTGACTGGCCTCCAACTGGACTTGGCTCCATTCACCACAACTCTTTGGGCCCGGCTATCCAGCCAATTTCTAACCCAACGAAGCGTGCGCCAGTCCAAGCCAAGAGCAGCCAGTTTCTTGAGGAGAATGCTGTGGGAGACGGTGTCAAAAGCCTTGCTGAAGTCAAGGTAGACCACATCCACAGCCTTTCCCTCATCCACCCAGCGCGTCACTTTGTCGTAGAAGGAGATCAGGTTCGTCAAGCAGGACCTGCCTTCCATAAACCCATGCTGGCTGGGCCTGATCGCCTGTTTGCCCTTCAAGTGCCGCATGATGACTCCCAAGAGGATCTGCTCCATGAGCTTCCCTGGTACTGAGGTCAAACTGACCGGCCTGTAGTTCCCCGGGTCTGCCCTCCGGCCCTTCTTGTAGATGGGCGTCACATTTGCTAGTCGCCAGTCAGCTGGGACCTCCCCCGATAGCCAGGACTGCTGATAAATGATGGATAGGGGCTTGGCCAGCTCCTCTGCCAGTTCTCTCAGTACCCTTGGGTGGATCCCATCCGGCCCCATCGATTTGTGCACATCCAAGTGCCGTAGCAGGTCACCAACCAGTTCTTCGTGGATGGTGAGGGCCACATCCTGCTCCCCGTCCCCTTCCACCAGTTCTGGGTACTGGGTATCCAGAGAGCAACCGGTTTTGCCGCTAAAGACTGAGGCAAAGAAGGCATTAAGCACCTCCGCCTTTTCCTCATCTCTTGTAACTAAGTTTCCCCCCGCATCCAGTAAAGGATGGAGATTCTCCCTAGTCCTCCTTTTTGTGTTGATATATTTATAAAAGCGTTTTTTGTTATCTTTAACAGCAGTAGCCAGATTGAGCTCCAGATGAGCTTTGGCCTTCCTAATCTTGTCCCTGCACAGCCTCGCTACATCCTTATAGTCCTCCTTAGTGGCCTGCCCAATTTTCCAAAGATTATAAACCCTCTTTTTCCTCCTAAGCTCAAGCCACAATTCTCTGTTGAGCCAGGCTGGTCTTCTTCCCCGCTGGCTCATCTTTGGGCACATGGGGACAGACCGCTCCTGCGCCATTAGGATTTGCCTCTTAAAGAGCGCCCGGCCTTCCTGGACCCCTCTGCCCTTCAGAACCGCCTCCCATGAGACTCCACCAACTAGTGTCCTGAGCAGCCCAAAGTCAGCCCTCCGAAAGTCCAATACAGTGGTTTTACTGGTTCCCTTCCTGGCCCCGCCAAGAATAGTGAACTCCACCATTTCGTGGTCACTCTGCCCAAGACAGCTCCCGACAATCACATCCTCCACCAGTCCTTCTCTGTTTGTGAAGAGAAGGTCTAGCAGGGCACCACCCCTGGTAGGTTCACTGATCAGCTGCGTCAGGAAGCTATCTTCCACTTTCTCCAGAAACCTCCTAGACTGCTTCCTCTGGGCTGTGTTGTGCTTCCAGGATATGAAATTTGGTCATTATAACTTCAGTTTGTCCGTCCATCTGTCCGTCCTTCCTTCCTTCCTTTTTCTTTTCCTTCCTTCCTTCCTTCCTTCCTTCCTTCCTTCCTTCCTTCCTTCCTTCCTTCCTTCCTTCCTTCCTTTTCTTTCTTTTTCTTTCTCTCTCTCTCTCTCTCTCCCTTTCTCTTTCCTTCTCTCTTTCACACTTCCTCTTTCTTTTTCTTTCTCTCTTTGTCTCTTCCATTCCTTCCTTCCTTCCTCCCTCCCTCCCTCCCCCTCTCCCTCCCTTTCCCACTTCCCCTTCCCCTTCGCCCTTCCCCTGGACAGGCTGGCAGTGGGATTACAGCCTTGCTCAGCCTCTTCAGCGCACATGCACACACACGCACGCACGCACATGTACAAGGATTTATGAGTCTCAAAAGATGCTTCATAAAATATTTACAGAGCGGAGCTTCAAGTGTGAGCATTTGACTCAGCCACGAGCCGTCCATGGCTGTCAGGCCTCTGGGTGGCATGATGGGGGGAATATAAACAGATCTTTTTTTCCATTTCCCCCAAAAAAACTTTATAAACCTTTGTGTTTCGAGTGTTTTAGCATGTTTTTTTTTGGTTCTTCCCCCCCTCTACCCAGTGCCAAGGGCAGCGGGGCAGCTCACTGGCTGTGTTCGAGATGGAGCGGTTTTGTTTACAAACGTAGGAACTTGTACCCACAAGCATGCCATAGCTGCAGCCTATTTTAGTGAAAAAAAAAAAAAAAGGTGTTTTTCTCTTAACACTCATGTTCTCATAACACTCAGGGGGTGTTATACTTCTACAGGACGCTGCTGCAGCCTCTTCCCAACACTCCGTGAATGTGGTGGCAGCATAAACACCTTACGGCTTAATCATGTGTTAAGATGAGCAATGCATTAAATGCGGGAGATGCTCAATGTAATAACTGGGGGCAGCACTCGTTCAGTGGGGGCAGTGCCCACGAGGAGAGGCTGACACCTGTTCAGTGGGGTGAGGAGTTTCAAAGCAGGGTTCGAATGCTCTGCAGATCTGGGGTGGGCACAGCGCTGCCCATGCCCACAGCATGGAAACGTGTCCGCATGCTGAGCTTGGCTGGGATTCCAAATTGCAGCATTTCCCCCAAAATGAAATATTAACCACCATAATCATCCTAATATGAAGAGCAACAAAGCCTCAGCCAATGCTTGCTGCTGACTGTGAGATGTTTTTTCTATAAAATAAAACATGCTTCTAACCTCAGTGCTGCTTCTGGATAAGCAAATGAAATATTTTTCTGGCTGACCTTATCAAAACCTTTTCTTTTCTTTTCATTTCTTTTCTCCTTTCTCTCTTATTTTCTCTTCTTTTTCCTCTCTTCTTTTTTTCTCTCCTTTTCTTTTCTCTCTTCTTTATTCTCCTTTTCTTTTCTCTCTTCTTTTTTCTCTCTTCTTTTCTCTTTTTCTTTTTTCTCTCTTCTCTTTTCTTTTTTCTCTTCTCTTTTTTCTTTTCACATGATTTTGTCACAATCGGTGCATCCCTATGGGTCACTTCAGCTGGAACAAGCCTTTGCGCCAACCCAAGCCTTTACAAGCAGGGGGCAAGGACAATGATTCATGTGGCCATACCAATACAAACCCATGCAGGCAATGCCCCAGTCCTGGTAACATTTTTAACTGGTGATTTTACATAAATATTGTTTTACGATGATGGAATAAAAGAAATGGGGGCTGTTGGCAGGAAACTGGAGCTTCTGCCACTCCTCCCTGCCTTCCCGAAAGAAAAGCTAAATTTCCCATTTCCCTGCCCATCCTGCAGACATAATGCCGTGCTGCTATCGTTTATACATAGGCATCAGTAAAAGATGAACCACAGAGAAATCAGTGTAATTCTCCTTTTATTTTTACTTTACCGTGAGTATGTAACAGCATCACACCCAAGTTTATGTTTGTTTAAAAAAAATCATACTGTATTTTTCCCATTGTTTAGAATAAATGGTAAAATTGTAATAAATGTAAACTGCATTTGGCACCATTTGGATCAATAAATAAAATATTTTTAAAAAAAGAGAGAAAGAACGCATTACGTAGATGGCACACTATGGTATCTAAATAAATAACATAAGTTACTTTGAATAAATAGAGCGTATCTAAAATATAGATGCATTGCATCAACTTCTGCAGATGGTCGGTCAGACCCAACTATACCAGAAGGGAAATGGATCTACGCAGACAGTGCCGAGCAGAGCCATGGAGGCAGGGCTGCCTCCGCTTGTGCCCACCCTGCTCCCACCTGCAGTTGCTAAACCTCTGTGTTTACCTCTGTGGGTTTTTTTTCCCTTTTTATCCTTTTTTTTTTTTTTTTCCCTCTTCTTGGGCCTCAAGTTTGAGGCTACGCCTTGTTTAACCAAGAACAAAAACATGTGGTAGCCCTATTTATTGAGAGAAGAAGGCTGAGGTTTTGAATACCGATGAAAAATAATTTGTCTTGATAAACTGGGAAAAATGATTTCTTCCCAGCAAGTTTCTGGACCTGTTTAAATAAGGAACACGATGTTTGCCAGTGCTTTCATCAAGTGGAAACAATGATGTTAGGCCCATTTCCCCCTCACAGATACCAAATCGGGAGTGAGCCCGTTGTCAGCAAATGGGATCCCGACTGATGCAAGTGACAGGCGGAGCCGAGCCAGAGCCAGAGCCAGCGCTGCTGCGCCTCGCACGCCTCCGGCTCCGGCCAGCATTACACAAACACAGGCACGTTCATATAGAGATGTGTATAGTAAAACACAATGAAACGTCCCATAACTCATTGTAGGAGAGCCGGGATAACATAACACTCATATTTTGAGCTGTCACCACCGGAATAGTTTTAAACATCTTGTGTTTCCAAACCTCTTGAGTTTTCAAACTCTGTGAAACACCCTTGCCTCCTGCCCTTGCGGGTGATGCTGAAGCAAGGCTGCAGCAGCGGATAGGCAAGCTGCAAGAAGACACAAGAATCCTAAAACCACCCCCTGAGAGATGTGGCACACCATTGTTATTATTAACAATAAGTAATGCATGGGATGACAAGGAAGGGAGACAGATGAGTTTTTGCTGTAGCTTTGAGGAGGGAATTTTCCATCCTTTTGCCTTTTCTGCATTGTAGACATTCTTACAGACAGCTCCAGCTCCTATTACAGCAGAGAGGGCCGGAGAAACGGAAAGCATTAGGGAAATATCAGTATTTCTATTGGAACCACATTTCTCTGCCCAGGCAGCAGCAGCACGGCACAGGACAATGTGGGCTGGGCGATGCTCCTGCAGCAGCACAGGGTGGACTCAGTGTCACCAAGAGGACAGCCCCAAGCAACATGCACGACAGTGACAGGCAAGCCAAAACCACCCCCAGGCAACAGCCGCAATGGGTGTGCTCAGCCCCAGAACTGCTCCAGGAGCCTGTGGTCGTGAAGCCCAGCTGCAGCCCAGCTGCACTCCAAAAACCCCACGCTCAGCACACTTAGCCGCTGCGCCATCAGCAGTGAATGTCAGCCACTTCCCCTGCTCCTCTGTGCAGGCGGGATGCTGATGGGGTGAAAAAGAGGGGGGGTGAAGGGAGGGAATAAAGGTTCAGCACAGCTATTTGCATTGATTTGCAGCGTGCACGCATTCCATCAAGTTTTCCCTCGTGGGCCCGGACTTTTGGGGCTGGGGTGCCCGAGCCCCTTCACCTCCCCACTGCTCACAGCCAAGGGCAGGCAGGAGGATGGGACCTTTGGCCTCATCCCTCATGCCAGGTCTGCTCTCAGCAGGCACTGCTGAGCTCTTGCACATCACAGCACCCTAAACCACCCTGATATTTCTCAGAACTTTCTACAAACAGGCTGTAAACAGACACTTGGGCAATGCAGCAGTTATGAAATCCCACAAGCACCTCCCTGGGCTCAGGACAATGCAGGCAGGGGCAGCTGCAGGGAGCCCATCTACAAACCCTCCTTACACGGGGCCCGGTGCTGCACTGCTGCTGTGCTGTAGCACCTTCCCTTCCTTTAGTGCTCAAGTTCCTGCCTTTTTTTTTTTTTTTAACTGGAGGCTTCTGCAACAAAACTAATTTTAGTTTTATAGTAGTAAGAACTGGAAAGCACCCAAGCCCTTGAGAGTGCCGTTATTATTATTAGATTTGGGTGTATTATTTTTTTTTTTAGTCAGGAGTGAGTCGGTTATCTGCCGTGAGCAACCACACTGATAGTGCTCATCTGCTGCCTCCATTCTACTCCTACTGCACAGCCTCTGGCTGCTTATTTTGGGGGACATCTTTCTCATTCCCCTTCCATGCAACCCTCACAGTGCTGCGGCACTTTGCAAAAGCATTTTGTGAGCAGCCAGCTCTGCGCACCTGCGGTGTCACACAGCTTTCACCATCTCAGCAGCATTTGTGTCCCAGTGTGCATCCGCCCGGGCCAGTGCCCCGCAGACAGGCTTTGCACCCCATGCCAGTGGCAGCGTCTCCTTTTCCCAGTCGTGAGGGGGAAAACTCAGCGTTACAGAATGCAGACTGCTTTCACGGGGACGCTGGGTGCACGGCCAGCCCTGCTGAAGGATGGTGTTTACATTGCATCGCTACATCCTGGCTCCGCTCAGCCAAGAGTGGCTGCTGGATGGAAAGCACAAAGCCAGCCCGGCCCTGCACAGGGGTCAGGCAGCTGCTGCCCCCCATCCCCCCACTGCCTGCCCTGTCAGGGGGAGACAGGGGCTGCTGTGTCCCCCGCGGGGCTGCACCCCAAAATCCCACACAGCCCCTGTAGCAGCACAACTGCTCCCTGCTCCATCACAGAGCTGGGCTGGGAATGAGGCCACCACTGCCATAGGGGCTGCGAGCAGAGTGTTTTCACTCGCAGTGGTTAATGCCCAGGACATGACACCAATATTCTCCTTCTGTTTATGATTTGCTTTTTCTGGGAAGAAGGCCAAGGGGAGAAAACCCATCAATCCCAGGCAACAAATTTAGCCTGCCCAGAGAATGCAAAAGTCTGCGGTCTCATTTATTTCTCCGCAGAGTAAACAAGAGTGACACTGCTGTAAATGCGAACCGTAGCCAAAGCCCAGGCCTGAGCCCTCTCCCGCGCACAATTTGAGCCCCACCGCCCTGCAAGGCAATGGGAATTACACACGTGCTGCAGCTGGCAGGGCCAGTCTGGCTTTCGGGGGAACCCAAACCGTCGGTGCTTCCAGCCACGCTGCCAACCCAGCTTTGCCAGTGGCCTCGTGGTGCTTTGTCCCCTCCCTGGTGGTGGCACATCTCAAGCCCCACTGCCTGCAGAGGGGTTGAGAGGTTAATCCAGTTACTTCAGATTATCCCAAGTTTTAGAAAGCCAAGCCCAGGCTGCGGAGCGTGAGGTGATCACAAAGCAGGCACCGGGAGTGGAGCCAGACCCTTTCCCCAGAGCACAAACCAGCGTCCGTGCAGCTCTGCTCTACACCAGGGAATCTGGGGGCATGGGACCACCCCTGTGCAGCATAGGGACCCCAGTATGGCTGCAGTGAAACCAGGAAACCCCACACACAGGGCAGCTTCAGCCCATGGGGCTCAGCACCCCCCTGAGGGCACCCGCAGCTGTTTAACACTCCCCATGCCCATAACACGCACTATGCATCTAGCACATCGTGTCCAGCACCATGGCACCACCTGCACAGCCCTGCAGTGCAGCCTCTTGCTCCTACCACCCCACGCACCTGGACTCATCACCTCTGTGCAGTTCACACCTGCCTTGCATCCCCCCTTCAGCTTGTGATGTGTCCCATATGTGTGACACGCTGCGTTCAACACACCCCATATGCATGCACCCCAAGCGTGCAAAGTGCCCTGCGCCCACAGCACACCCTGCTCATGTGTTGCACACCCACTGGCACCCCCAGACCACCCCTCAACGACTGCAGCCTCCGATGGCACTTACAGCTTCCTCTACAGTCCTGTACAGTCACGTCACATGTGTATGTGAGCCAGGAAGCAGCGCTTGGGGATAAACGAGCATCGCAGTCTCTTCTCCTCCCACAGCCCCCACTGCCCCAAATGGGGAGGGTCACTGGGGCAGGCAGCGGTGCAGGGCCCGTCCCCATCCTCACAGCAGACCGTGACCCCTTGGCCTTGCTGCCAGCGGTTCTGGGGCATCGCCTCCGCCTGGCCACCCCGGCCCTTCACACGCAGCCACACTCCTTGGCCGAGAGCTCGTTGACAGTGTAGTAGCGGTTGTAGGCATCCAAGAAGGAGACATCGTCATCATAGGAAAGCGGCCGGCAGCAGGGCCGAGCCCGGACCTTCTCCTTCCTGATCCTCCTCTTGCTGCGTACACTCTTCAGTGAGAGGTCATAGTTCCTGACAGCTGCGTCACAGGTGCCGCTGCAGTAGCGGAACAGCACTGTCTCGTCTGACTCATAACCCAGGCCCAGCTCGCTGACGCTTACCTCCAGCTCCTTCAGGGCACAGGGTTTGTGGCGAGCTCGTGCGCGCTTCATGCGGTTGCCCGCCTTGGGGAAGAGCGGCAGCTCGTGGCCGCCTGAGTTCATGGCCTGGCTGTAGCGCTCCACCAGTGCTGAGATGAGCTGCCGGATCTCCCCCTCTGTGTAGCTCTCGAACAAGCTGCCGTCTGCAAGAGAAGGGGTGGCCGTTAGCAGGTGTCCCCCCTGGTGGGCGTCCCCTGGAGCTGTGGATGTACCCCTGGCTCCCTGTGTAGTGCTGTGTAGTGCTGGCTCCCTGCTCCCTCCATGCAAGGTTTTGCAGAAAATTGCAAAATTGATCTCGACAACATGTTGCTGAACCACAGTGACTGCCTGAACCAGCCCTTGGCTGGGAGGACAGGGAAGACACTGGGCCAGTAGCCACTGCGGGGCCACTCAGTGCCCCAGCCAGGTCGCACCCTGCATGCACGGGGCTGAGACCCCGTGGAGGTACCTTGTTGTGCTGCTGCCACCGCCACTGCCCACAATAAAAAACACACACACACCTCCCTCCCCTTTCCTTCTACTGTCTGCTTTCTCCCCTGCCCGGAGCTGTCCCAAACAGCCTCTTTCCCTGCACAACATCAAGCGCATGCTTAAAAGTGAAATTTGGGGGACAGAAAGCAGTACTGTTGTGCTCATGCTTTCCAGATGACCAGTGGCAGCACTGCTGTGGCCAGGGATCAGGCAGCAGGGCTGCTCCAGCTGGAGCATGACACTGGGGCTTGAGCAGCAATGGCACCTACAGGTGGACACGGGAGGACCCCACGCCTGCACTAAGCTGCACAGGAGAATTAACAGTGCCAGCAACAGTCCTCGGTGGCATCACTCCAACTTGCAGATGTGCAAAAACGTGGTCCCCACCACGAGATGATGCTGCAGAAAAGCCATGATGGGGTGGTGAGAAACACCAACAAACTGAATATTTGTGATGATTTCCTGTTGTCTCAGTGAAAGGGCTGCCCAACAAAATCCCTATGCACACAGCCACGGCCATGGCCGACAAGCAGACACTGGTGGCAACATCTGTGTCCCTTTGTCCTAACCCTGAGGCTAGGCTTGGTCCAACTCAGTGCCAGGAGAAGCATCAAAATGAGGAGAAAAGCATAATTTGACAGCTTGTCATCAATTTCAAAATTTCAAACCAAAAAGAAGTTCTTCTCGTTTGGAATAAAAGCAAACATGCCTGGGATTTCCAGCAAGCACAAAGGGATGAGCACAGCTTTGGGGGAAGTCGCTGCCTCACAGCAGGATGGAGCTGTTCCCCTTTGCTTTGAGCTCCCATTTGACATTTCACATTTTTAAAAACAGCATGGAAATTAAAAGAAACAAGAAAAAGAAAGAAAGCCATTTGGTGAGGGAAAAAAAAAAAAAAAAAAAAGCAGCTTCTTTGCATTAAGATGAGCTGTTTGCATTTGGTTTCCCTGCATGAAGAGCTGATGTGCTTGCATGAAGATTTGTTGCCCAGAGGCTGCGTTTTCCATGCATGGTTTTCTAGGGACCAGTGCCTCCCGACTCCGCTCCTTGCTAAATGCTTGCAACCCACTGATGCAGGAGCAAGAGAGAGAAGGGAGGCAGCAGAGTGAGCATGCCTGGGTGAACACCTGAGGACACAGTGGCATCTATGGGCTCAGCCTCAGGAGAGCCGAAAACAGCCTCTGCTGGTGTTGAGCAGCCGGGGCGCGGGCGCGGCAGCTTACACTGGGTGAGCAGCGAGCTGTGGCGTGGCAGGGCCCGAGGGGGTCTCCGCAGAGCTGCCGGCAGTGAAGAGGAGGATGCCCGTGAGGACAGCGAGGAAGGCAAGGGGCTGTATGTCCGGCTTCCGTTGAACATGTCTCTACAAACTAAAATGGATAACATGGAACTGAGGAGCATCGATGCAATGGCTGCAAACTTCCATACCTTCATCTTAGAGCAAGTCAGAACATTGAAACTCTGCAAAACAGGCAAAACAAATATCCTTATTATATGGCCTTTGCCCGTGGTGCCCTCTCTCACCCCCAGCCCCATGTCTCCAGCCCATCCCCTCCACCCCCGAGACTGGTCCAGCTTTGTGGTGGGGAAACCAAGGCACAGAGATGTACTGCAGCCCCAGGCTGTGCTGCACAGAGAAAAGGCAAAGGTCGCTCTTGGCTGATATGTCCTACTTGGTGACAGTGGGGACAAGGAGATGTCCTCATCCCATGCATCCCTTACAGCAGGCAGCCTCACCAGACACATTTAAGCCTCCTTTCTGGTGGCTGGATCTCCATGTCGCACTGGGGCCAATACCCCAACAGGTGGATGCAAGTAAAGGATGGACAAAGCCATGTCCCACCCCCGCTCCATCGTCCTCACCCTGCACTGAGCCCCAGTACAGCTTGCTCCGCCCCTGCTGGCCACCAGCTTACCCAGGGCCCAGAGCCTACTGGGGTTCAGGGTTATGCTGCCTGACCTCTGCACAAATCCCTGCCCCACCAGTGGACCAACATGGATGCCCCCACTCTGTCAAAACTAGTGAAAAATCACAAAAATCTCAAGAACAGCCCTGGTGCATCCCAGCATCCAGCAACACAGTGGGCAGGAGCAGCGCTAGCACACAGGGACCACAGGCAGGCCAAAATTCGGGGCTGCAGCACGGGAGACAAATCTTGCAAGTGGCTGGGACAAGGCTGCGGATGCCCTTACCTGACGCTGCTGGATTTTGTCCATCCAAAGCAGGTTGGACGTAGTAGGATTTGAGAGGCGCCAGCGCAACCCTGCCAGGCCGTGGGAGGTCGGGTCTGAACGCCTGCTGGCGAGCTGTCAGCCATTAAATCCCCATCAATGCCAGCCCTCGGAAAGCGGCACTGACTCGCAGTCGCCTCCCAGCCCCTTTTTCTCATTTCAGTTCCTTACAAACTCCAAACATTTCTCCTTTTTAAATAAATTTTCCATGGGGGGGGCGGGGGGAGAGGGGAGAAGGAAGAAGAGAATGAGAGGGGAAAAAAAATACCCACAGCCCAGTTTAGCAATATTTGCCAAATAGAATTTACTGGGGGAAAATGTTTATTTTAAAATGGAATTTGACAGATTCACTTTTACCATTATTGTGGAAAACAACGAGAATGCTGTCCCATTGCCAACAACACTTTATTTTACAGGATGCAGATAATTACATGTTAACTAATAGTAATTACATGCCCTGTAGGTTACAAGATAATTGTATAACCCAGCCAGAGTCTAAATATTTTCAACTGGGCTATAAACAATGCCAAGATAGAAAAAGAATAGTTTAGCCATATAAGGAGGTAAGAGCATGAAATCCTGCCGTGGTACCGGGAGGCAGTGCTGGCCAAGACACTGAGCCGATAAGCACCCGCTGCAAAACCCGTACCGTGGCTGCACGAGTCGGGGCAAGTGCTCACAGCTGGCTCATGGGGAGGGCGCACCCAGAGTGGACGGTGCTGGCCCCTTGAGCCCCAGCAAAGCCACCACAGGAAGGACGATTATGGCCGTTGGGTGTTTGCCCCACCATTAATCGCAATGATTAAGTGCCTTCAAGTTGAGATTTCACCTGTGAGTCAAGAGCTCAATCAACTGGCAGGAGCAGAGAACAGGCACCAAAAACACTCAAGGATGTCACACAGATCCCAGAGAGGCATCAGGGCACGGCTGCTAAAGCACACAGGGCTGAGAAAATTGCAGTTCACTCTCAGACAGCATGCAAAATGAAGGGGAATAAAAGCCTTAGGAAGAAACAGCTGCCTCAAGGGAAACATGTAGCAGCAGCTTTGGATGTGGGGAAGGGACATGGCTCGTGGTGCCACTCTGACAGCGGTAGTACAGGGTCCGAGCTAGGCAGGAGATGCTGTGGGCAGGGGCAGGACCACATGGCCAGCCAGCTGCAGGGAAGGGTCTCTGGCTCATTTTGAGCCCCTAACAGTTTAGCAGGGTGGTTTCAGCCTTGCTGCACATCCCATAAAACAGCCTCTTATTTCAGCAGCCAGAAATTGTGTCCCCCACCCGCTTGCTGGTGACCTTTCAAAAGACCAGAACCCTGGCTCCAGTGTGCAAACAATAATACTCACTCCCTCTCTCCCTCTCTCTATATATATTCCAGACTTTGCCTCCAGTTTTTCTTGCTCTAAAATGCCACAGCCCACATGTGGCAACCCATGGCGAAAGCTGAAATTCGAGGGGGAGAAAAGGAAAAGCACACACACACATCGCAGCCCGTGACTCACCCAGGCTGATGCTTGAACTTTGCCCTCCTGTCTTTTTGGTTTCCACCTATTCTAAACCCAGTCCCAGCAACAATAAATAACTGTGAGGGCTCAGGGCTTCTGACACAAAGCTGCGACTGGACAGCCCCACACCAACAGGCACCAGCCCACAGCTGCTTCCACAGGTGGCACTGCTCTGCTGGGCTCTGCTCAGACATCATGGAAAGCCCAGTAGGCACAGCCCCTTCCTTGTCCCCGTCCCCATCCCCAAAGCCCTCTTACTCCCTCCTGCAGAAGAAGTTGGAGCACCCCAAGGACTGGATCTGCTGGGGTGAGCATTTGTGGTACCCAAAGTTTGGTCCCACTGGCACAGCCAGCAAGGAAGCATCAGGGTCTTCCCAGCCCAGACTTAGCGGTCCAAGCAGGTCCTCACTGCTGCTGCTGCTCCAGTCTCTTTGCTATTTCTCTGCAATGCAAAGGTGCAGGCACTGCCTAGCACCACCAGACCCAGGTTGACGTGCTCAGCAGGGCAGGGTAAACGTCACAAGTCCCCGGGGCCAGGCTCTACCACACACCATTCCCTAGACATAGAGAACTGCCACTGGGCTCCATGCTCAGCTTGTCCCACTGGCTCAAAGCCATTTTGTAGAAATGAGGGTGTGAGGCTAGGATGGCTCAGGGACACAGCCTTGACAGAGGGTTCCTGGTGCTCGTGCAGCCGCACCAAATGCCCTCCTGTCCCCAGGCAAACTAAGCATGCCCCAGGCACCCCACTCCACTCTTGCTGTGGCTCTCTGGGATCCAAACCCCCTCAGGCAGCAATGGTTTCACGGGCTGTTGCCACCGCAGGCTGTTCCTGTGCATTTACATCAGCCCTGCCATACTGCCATGCTGCAGCAATGCAGGGGTACTCGTGCCATGGGCTTGCTGCAAAGAGGTTTTGAGTCCTGGCAGGATTTGGGCACTTGCAGCTACGTTACAACCCCATTATGCTCCTGGGCTTGATTAAAGGCCTAAGGCCTTTTCTCTCCCATATTCTGGATAACAGCCCAAAAGTGCTGTATTCTCCTGCATCCTCCTGATCATCCATCAATTTGACCGTACAAGTCCAGCCACGCTGTGCCTGCTGCCAAGCAGGAACTCAATCCTGAAGGAGAAAACCTTCAGGAATGGAAGCATCAGCCCCATTTTGCAGGAGCCAAGTACCAAAACCAAGCCCATGCTCCACCAGCCTCCTCCACAGATGCTCCATAGGTGGAAGAGATGAGGATCTGTGTCCTGACAAACTGGAAATTTCATGAAAAACAAAAGACAGCAGCACAGCCAAGGCTCATCACTTGCCGAGAAGCAGCTGATGATCTTGGCTCCCCCTCTGCTGCAGCTGAGCCATGGGGCAAGCTCCCTGCACTTCTGCCTTGCTCCTAGCAAGACTTCAGATTTCCACCTGAAGGAGCAAGGCTATCCCTTGGCCCTACAGAGCCCTCTGCGGTGCTTCATTGCCCCCACTGCTCAGCAAAACACAGGATCAGCAGAGCCTGATTTTCAGTCGGAGTTTTCTTCACTCCAGCTTCCAAGCACTGGAGTTTCTGCTGCCTTTCCCAGAGAAAAAGGAAAGCAGCTCTCCCGTTCCACAGACGGTACAGAACCCAAATGTATTTTGGCCTGCTTGGGCTTTGCCTGCTGCTCATGCTCTCAGGTTTTCTCAGAGCTCTTCCTTTCCTAAGCACATCCACTTTTCAAGCAGACTCTCACAATGTGCTTCAGCTATCTGCCAGCTCCTCAGATCCTCAACTCCCAATGGTGCAAGGTGAGGGCGAGAAGCCAGGGTTCATTCTTTTACCCTAAATCCTCCTTCCTGGGCGGAAGAAGGGGGAAGAGGAGATGTGCAAACGTTTGGTCCTTAAGCTTCAAAGCCCAGAAGCCAGAGCACCCAAAAGACATTATATTGTAAGTATGACATACATTTTCAGTCAATTCATGCTTCTGGGCATTGATTCATTATTTTCAAGCGCTCAGACTCAGCCGCGCCATGAGAATGGATGAGACCATAGTGGCCGAGGTTTTTGGCAAATGAAACACTTGGAAAGAACGAGGCCTTGATGGGACATCAGAGAGAGTTTCCACCTGCCACACTGTTTATTTTAGTGCCTTACATGGGAGCCAAGCTGCTTTGAAATCCCAGCTCCTCATGACTCACCCTGCAGGAATTAAACAATTTCCACCCTGACTCCATGCTGCAGCAGAGTAGCTCCAGGGCTGCAGCACTCACGGATCCTCCAGGCCCTGAGCTCCCAGCATGGCCCCACACCAAGGACGGCACTGGAGAAGCCTTGAGAGTGAGCAGCTCCCAGAGGCCAAAATGCTGATGGTGGGGATGAGGACACCATGGTGTCCAGACAGACTTTTTCGCAAATGTTTCCTAAGTTTCTGACCTGCTCTTTGGAAATGCAGCCCCCAAATGGCATTGGTGCATCTGAAAGCAGCAGGGCGGATGTTGTGCTGAGAAAGGCTGCAGTGAGACCACCAATACCGCAGGGTCAGAACAGCCCCAAAATGGCAAAACTGGTGGAAAAATTGGGAGCATCAAAAGGAAAAATGCCCCAAGCCCTGATCTGAGCTTAACTGTTGAATTTTCCTGCTCTTTTGACAGTAATCATAGGCAGTAAGGAGAGGAAGACAGAAGATATCCCCATCTCCAGCTCTGTTCCGAGGATTGCTCTGGGAACACAGGATGAGTGCCACCGTCCCCAT